TTTAAATATTAAAAATATACAAATGATTTAATTAGCATTTGTATTAATATAGTATAGTTTTTATTAATATTTGTTTATTTTTCACATGTTTATTTATTATAAATCAGTTTGTTTAGTCGTGTAGTCATTCTTATTTTAGGCTTGTTCTCATGAGTAATATCGCTGATTCTTATCTGAGCAGCATTAAATGTAATAATTTAGGAATCAACCATTGTAAACCCATATTCCTCAACCACTAATTTGAATATTGGGGGTGCCGTGTGCCCCTCAGTGTTTATAGCTGTTACGACGCTATCAGGCAGCTAGTTGATTGACGTCCTGGTGCTTTGAATTGAGCTTATTCACTAAAACATTTCCTTTTTTTTCCCTCTGACAGACCAGCATAGGGTTTCATTTAAACATGTCTGAAATGACACTGCAGCGTTCATGACTGGGAGGAGAGAATACGGTTCCCACTTACCCATAAGTAAATTGACATGATCAGATTACGTGCTCCTGATCAGAGCCACATGCCGAGGTGCATTGATTGAGTCTGCGGATGCCTTCCTGTTCATCTTCTCATGCACCGTTTGCAAAGTCTGCTCATCTGAAGTGAAACATCCTCTCACACACACATCGCCTTGCAAACAAACTTGCTCACATATGGTTTCAGTAAGGCTGTTATCTGAGCCACAGAAGAGTGTAGATTCCCACTGTCACCAAGGTGCTCCTCTGATGAGCTGTAAACGCTGACATGTTGTAAACTATTGGATCTGATTTCAGACAGCCTCGTAGCAAGAAGTTCGGATGTAGTTTGGTTAATAAATTACATGCTTGAATGCGTTCGTGTTTTGTTTTTTTTGGAGAAATACGTATATTGCTATTATACAGCAGTGAATAATTTCGGTTATGATGTAATGGCTTGTAATCATACGGCGACTTCTGAAGTGAAATCAGCACACGAGGGGAAACAGAAAACATACCAATTTATAATGCAGTTTGAAGTCTTACGGTGAAAATACTCGTACAGCACGACGTCTGGTAATAGCAGGAAGTTTCATATAATGTTTCTGCTCATTAAAGCGAATGCCGCACAACCCAAAAACTTTGAAGAAAAAAAAAAAGCTCTGCTGTCACTTTAAAAGCACTCTCATTCACAGGCGGTTGGGTAAAATACTGGCAGTTGGCCATTTTCACATAGGCTGGTTTGACCCCACTGCAAGCCTGAAAATAGCAGCGAGCAGATACTGTAAAAGCAGAGGCAACCAGAAATGACTTTTCCACCAATGTCTGATTTCTTCTGAAAACAGTAAATCTTGTGAAGTTTATTTTCTTTGCAGCATCTGTGTTTTATAATGGTTCTTTTAATTTGTTTTCACTTTGTCCACCGGGATTGCTTTTATCCGGCGCTTTCTGGCCTCTCCTTTTACTTACTTTCCTTCCCCCCTCCCCTCCCCTTCCACTTGTAGTACTCCTCGTTTGAAAGTGTGTATTTTAATAATGATAGCTCTGGGAATTGGCACAGGCAGACTTGACATTACAGCGCCTTCCCCCTGAGTGCGGCGGTACCGCCATTGTTCCTTTTCCTCTCCACTCATCCCTCTTTTTGTCCCCTCCTCCCCTCCTGTCCTAATCCCTACCTCCTGTGAACTACGCTCTTACAGGAGCATGTCTGGGAAACCTGGACGAGCGCAAAAGACATGAATGGGTGAAACAGAATATATCAAAGTATTCCCAAACCAGGAGAGCGCAACTTTTTTCTAGGAATTCAGTCTTCCGCAGATGCTCCTAAAGCCAGGCGATTTCTCAGCGGTTGACACTTTGGAACGTCCTGCGATATTCTGTCCCCGGGAACGTTATTCGCATTGGCGGCCGTCGAGGTTGCATTTTTTTTTAATTCACTTCGATGGTGATGTGATTAAAATGGGACAATGTTTGCGTACGAATGTTGTTTTTTTAGGTTTATGTGTGCAAATGAAGCAAATAACGAATGGAAAGCGTCAGCTTAGATGGATCGCTTGTGTTCATTGCTTTATCAGATGCAAATAGAACAGCTTGGGGGAGAAAAACAGGATATCAGTGACAGGGCGACCAGGTCTGTGCCATTAGAAGAAAATGCAAATGGAGTGGAGTGAGCTCGAACAGAAGGGTCAGGTGACAGAGGGTGACCCGGCCGGCCTCTTGGAGTTAGGCCTGCGACGGCTGTGGATTTGCATTGATGGATCTTCTTTCCATTGGCTTGTCATGTATCACTGCGCAGGCCATCACACATGAGTCATTAATCAAATGACGGCTCCATAAGCAGTATCGTTTTGACTGGCCAGGCGCCTTGCCGCTCTCGGACGTGCCATTCTTGAGGGTTTTGGCCAAGCCTGCCACACTCGGGTTGACGTCATGCGGCGGCTGAGTTTCACATCATCCCGTGCGAGGCGTCTGCTTTTGGAGGGCTTAAGCTTTGCCGCTGTGACGCCGGCTGTTTGCGTGTGTGTCCGCAGGCGAGTCGGGGTTTGATTTAGTGAGGGTTAAAAAGTGCGCCGAGACTGAGTGTGTCCTTCTTGGAAAGATGCTAAATTCATTAAGATTTTTCTTCCTCTGCTCCTCGTCTTTGTCCATCAGAAGCACCATTATGGGTTTTCAGGCTGCTTCCTGTTCAAATTCCTTTTCTTTTCTGCTGCTCTTGCACACAAAAGGTGGCTGCGCTTGGGGTGTAGTGGTTTTGAAATGTGAAGGGCCCTTGAGATCCGGGCCCTGTGTGGAATGGCGCAGGGGTTTGTGTAATGTCTCCAGCCAAAGCAGGCCTTTATGGAGGGCCATGAGGCCTAAATGGCCTCTCTTTGGTTAAGCACAAAGACAGCGTTTCTGGGTATTAGAGAGAGACAGAGAGGCTGGCTAATGATCTAAAACCCCTCCAACACTGTGGCACGGCCGCTCTCAGCGCTTTTGCCCTCAGATAATCATTGTTTTGTGTCTCGGGGATTTCTCCGACCCCCTGAATACCCTCTTCATGGCGATATTACAATGGAAGCAAGGAAAATGTTCGCTGAGATTATTGGGCTGGTCTGAAATATTGTATGTTGAAAGGGAAAAAAATAATGGAGTTAAAAACACAAAAAGCAGCACTTCAACTTTGTGTGGAATATTTGTGTAGCATACATCTGCACTATATTGTTTTTGCTTTTTTAAGAAGTGCATGGAAGCGTATATCAAATTGATTCCTGTATTAGTTGGAATGAAAGGCAACACATAAAAACAAATGAAAAATGATTAAAAGTGGATAATTAAGGGGAGAGCAGTCGAAACATTGTATCTGTTGTGTTGGTTTCTTTAAGAGGAAATGCTATGTTAATTAATTAAGTATGTGTGTTTTAGCATGACTGGAAGGCTGACCATTCAGTATTATTTTTATAAACACTTTTTATACCACATATCAGTAAAGACTTAAGAGGCTATTGATTTGGTGGATGGTTTACATATCGCGGCCCAGAAACAGTTTCTAATGAGGCATCTACATATACATATCTATGATTGATGTAATGTTTTTGAAAGATGTCGCTTATGCTCACCAAGGCCTCATTTATTTGATCAAAAATACAGGAAAAACAGGAACATTGTGAAATATTATTATAGTTTAAAATAACCGTTTTAACAAATTTTAAAATGTCATTTATTCTTGTGATGGCAAAGCCGAATTTTCAGCAGCCATTACTTCAGTCATCAGTGTCACATGATCCTTCAGAAAGCATTCTAATATGTGATTTGGTGACTTAAGGAATCTTTGATGAATCGAAAGTTTAAAACAAATTGAAATCTCACATAAAATGTATAAATGTGACCCTGGACCACAAAACCAGTCATAAGGGTACATTTTTTAAAATTGAGATTTATACATCATCTGAAAGCTGAATTAATAAGCTTTCCATTGATGTATGGTTTGTTAGGATAGGACAGTATTTGGCCAAGATACACCTATTTGAAAATCTGGAATCTGAGGGTGCAAAAAAATAAAAATACTGAGAAAATCGCCTTTAAAATTGTCCAAATGAAGTCCTTAGCTATGCATATTACTAATCAAAAATTAAGTTTTATTTACAGTAAATAAGTTTTATTTATATTTACAGTAGGAAATTTACAAAATATCTTCATGGAACATGATCTTTACTTAATATCTGAATGATTTTTGGCATAAAAGAAAAATCAATAATTTTGCCCCATGCAATGTATTTTTGGCTATTTCTACAAATATACCCCAGCGACTTAAGACTGGTTTTGTTTACTCTTATTTGATCATTCTTAATACATCCTTGCTAATTAGATTAAAAAATATGTGACCTATCGAATTTTTAATGTTAATACAAACTCACATTCTTCATTTTTCTTTCTCCATTTTCTTTCATAGCCAAACTCACCAGTCAAGAATCCTTTAACAACTTCACCAACAACAACATGGGTAACCCACGGCTGTCTCCATTACCCAGTTTGACGGTCGTGCTTCCACTGGCTCAAATCAAGCAGCCGATGACCTTGGGCACCATCACCAAGCGCACTGGGTGGGTTTCTACACACTATTAAAACACTTAAAGGCATTGGTATGAGCCTTTTAATGTTATATCACAATACAAATCATGATTTATTGATAATTTTAGATGTGAATTGAATTCGAACTGAAGTGCAAGACAAATTGTCAACTCTTTAAAAATCATAACTGTGAAACTGAAACGTTTCTACTTAACTATGAAAATTAAATACTTGAGGCTATATTCCGACTGGATAAGTAGTCTGCTACTTATTTGACCTACTGGCAGTTTTCTGGTCATCATCAACTTTTTTTAAATTTGACATTTGGTGTGTTGTCACTTCAAGCCAAGAAGAGGTCTCAATGGAAATTACATTGTCATTTTAAGGCACAAGGTACTTAATATAGGTAATATCTTAAAACATATTGGTTTATGCCATCTGATAGACAGGTTATAAACGACAATTTAGATAGTTATATTTTACTGCAGACCAGGCTACATTGTCAATTGTTAAGCAGTTTAGCGAAATATTATTGTTATGAGTGTCAAGACCATGAATGCTCCAGCCAGCACTGGTGATAGCATTTCTCATTTGCGAGAACTGTGTCGTGGATTTGAAACATGACATGAGTTTGCATGAACTCTTGACTCGTGCTGAAGCACTTAAGTGTCATCAAACCGTCATTTGCCAGATGATTGCCTGAATTTACACAAACATGCAAACCTGCTTTTTCCCGCATATGGATCTTTGCTGTACTCGGTTGTTAGTTCCCAAGCCAGATGTATTACAATCACTGGACACAGCGTGCGGTCGCCCTCCATGTAACATGAACACGCCGGTAAAGACTGGTTGCCATATCAATGACTGCAGTGCGCATTTACATACTGACTGAACATAATTATGACTTATTGCAATTGTTTATTTTTATTTAAATGCAAAGTTTGAATGGGAAATTCGCTAACGAAACAGTGGCACGTCGGGTAAACTTTAAATAGGGAGATTTATACAAGGCCCTGCAGCTCATTGTCATGCAGAACACTTTGCGCTGTGGTTGTTTTAAGGGCTCTCGCTCATCTAGTTTTGATTTGAAGAGTCGTCAAGGGTGCATCAGTTTGAAGTTTGAGTAATTCAGCTTTGCGTTTGGTTTAGTTTCTAGCTTTGGAGACCTCATATGCTCCCAGTGCCTAGTAAACCTGCCTTTTTCAAAGACATGCTGAGTCCAAGGCTGTACATTGTGACAGAGTAGACGTCACTGTCCTCGAGTCTAGTCCCATTTCATCCCGTATCTTTCTCTCCTTAGCTGAGGCTAGCATATGTGGTGGCAGACAAGAGACATCCTATGTTGTGCTGAACCGTGTTGTGTGTCTGTATGTCAGTCAGTCAGCTGTTTCCCTGCACCCACCTGTCTCTGCTCATATGTTCTTTGCCCATCAGCATGCCCAAAAAACTCTACCCTCAGATGTTCAGCACTCAGAGCTGTGGCTGGGGAATGGCAGAGGACCTGGCCACCACATGGGAGATCGTCCTCTTTGCAGACAGAGTCTCTGTAATAATGCAACTGGACTTTTGGCGTCGTGGCTGTATCAAACGAGCTGGTGCGGGTGGAAAGCAGGTTGAAACTCTTTTTGCCCATACTGTCTACCTCCAAGTGAGTCATACTGGGCATTAACACAGCGTTGATTTGAGTGCCTTTTAGTGGAAGTGGTGTTAAAGGGTTAATTCACCCAAAAATTCAAATTAGCCCATGTTTTACTCACCCTCAAAGCATTCTAGGTGTATATGACTTTCTTCTTTCAGACGAATCCAATCGGAGTTATATTAAAAATGATCCTTGCTCTTCCAAGCTTTAGAATGGGAGTAGGTGGGTGTTTTTGTTAAACAGTCCAAAAGTAATCAAATAAAACACGCGCATCCATAATAAAACGTGCCTCACACGGCTCCTGTAGCGAATCGATGCGTTTTTGTATGAAAAATATCCATATTTAAAATATTATGAATACTTTTTTCTCACTTCTGCTTCCTGTCATACGTGCAAGCCGTTCCTGGGCGGATGACGTAGGACGTACGCGTTGCACACACGCCGGTGAGAAGTGACGAACGCGGAAGCGCGATGGAGAGACAGCAAAACAAAAAGCCGGTCACGAATTAGAAGATTTTATTTTCTCGCTTTGATTCCTATTTTTTGATTATGATTCATTTTGGTATATTTCAGTTGTAATGTTCATTTTGCTCACATATGCAAAAAAAAATTATAAATAAAATTCAGTCTTTGTTAATGTTTTATACTGGGTTTTAGACTGATTCTAACTGATAACTTGTCTTTTTGAACTATTAAAAATAATTTACTGATATTCAGGAATCAGGCTACACTGTTTTCAGATATTTTAGTGTTAAATGTATACTGGTATACTATTTTTTTATACTTTTTTTTTTTAAATGAACTTTTATTGATACATTCTCCGTTTTAGTAATTTTATGCACTTTTTTTAAATTTTTTTATTTAAACATGTATTACATTTTAAAAAATAGATTTAATTTGTCGGTGCCCATTGCATTGTGGTTAGTGCGTCGGCAGCCCGAGTTCGAATCCTGCCTCGAGGTCCTTTGCTGATCCTGCTCCCCTCTCTCCTCCCAGTGCTTTCCTCTCAGCTTTCCACTGTCCTCTCACAATAAAGGCGTAAAAAGCTCATAAATATAACTTAACAAAAGATTGAATTTAATTCAATTTTTGTTTTTAGTAATTTTAGTACTTCAACTTATTTTATTTCAATTAGTTGGCAAGGCAACAGTTCCAATTGTATTTTTTCATCTAATATGTTTATTTATGTATTTTGTATTTCAGCTTTATTTCAGTTCTCAGAAATTATTTGTTTATTTATTTAATTTTATTATTTTATTTAGTTTTCTTATACAGCATAAACTTGATCAGCAAACATGGTCCAAAAAGAACATAAACAGTACGGTACAGACAAATATACAAAAATAAAAGGAAACAGAAAAGTATTAATTGTCAGCTAAATATCTTTGAGACAAGCGATATTGAAAGGTCAGTAAAATAATCAATTTTTTTTAAATAATAACAATTCTGTTTTTGATTTGCTTAAAAGAACTGAGTGCTTTGTTCAGAATGCAAAAATATCATTATGTACTTCTGCGTTCTACTAGGTACTTGAGTAGAGCATTTCGTGTTTACCTTGATGATTTTTTTAATGCCTGCATTGCTAATCAAGTTTGATTTTTTTTTTTTCCCTCCTCTCCAGTCTGTAAACAAGTGGAATGGGGCTATATACAAATGCTCCAACCATTATTACCCAGTTTCAGATTTTTAGATCTTTTATTCCAGCGTAGTTCAGTATTAATGCTCATCTAATATTTTACTCTCTGAAAACTCTTGTTTTGAGAAGCGTCTGGTCCTCTCGGGTGAGACAGCAGTGTGAGTCTTGCACTTAATGTACTGTGCCGTTCCAGGAGCTGTGTCACAGTGTGACCTTCTTTTTCTGTGAACCACTTCAGCTGTTCTCCTGATTCCAGCTGTCAAATCAGCCAGCGCAATGAGTTCTGATATCAGCCCTGATGACTTCATCTCCCCTTTTCCGTGTGTCCGCTAAGTGATGAGTAACCTTTCTACTGAGTCAGCCAGCTTAGTGCCATTTTTAGACTATGTTTACTTGAATATTGATATAGTTAGACTGTGTGGTGGACTTCAACAATGAGGTGCCAGAGTCCCTTGAGGTTTTTTTTTAGTCCCATGCAAATTCCTGTTTCAGTTCCATTTGATGTTTACAGTTTTAACATTTATCTAATGCTCAACAAGCACCAATATTTCAGGTTTATATTAACATAGTATTTATTAAAATCGTATCTCATAAAAGTCTTATTGACTTTTGCCTTTTTAAATATCTTTTACATGTTTATTTTGGGGCTTAAGGAGGCAAAAGAGGTGCTGGTGTCACTTTTCGTTGGAAAGTGTCGGAGTGCACAGTCTACACCCGCAATAACATATTATCTTACGTTCGGATACCGGTTGTTCGGGAATTCCATTGTGGGTGATTATACCAAATCATTTTGATGACCGGTATTTTAGAATTAATAAAATAACATTTGAGAGCGTGTGCGATGAGATTGGTGTGCTGAAAAAGTAAATTTTTTTGAGGTGCATTTTTAATGTGAATTTATTCTGTACATGTTTCCATCATAATTTAATGTTTGTCTTCTTATATACTCAATTGAGCGCATCAAGGTGGACGGAATAATAGCTGTATCCTCATTTGTCGCCACTTCCTCAAAATGCCTCTGCTTTCTTGCCTTTTGTGGCCAAAAAGCTGTTAAATCATATACTATAAAAAAAAAAAGTTCTGTAGTTTTTACATAATCATTTTGGCAGCTTTGGTTTTTGTAAAAAATACAGAAAAACTGTAAACACATTTACAAAACAAACGGTGAAGTTTACAGTATAAAACTGTAATTTATAAATAAGAAAATTTGAATGTAAACCAGTAAATTCAAGAAGCCACACTGCTACTAAAATCTGTTTTAACAGTTTTTTTTAATCAATATTTTACAGTTAAAATTACACTCATTTTTACAGTGTACTTAAAAACGTTTTCTCACGCCTCTTTGTAGAACTGTAGATATACAAATTTTATAATAAAAAAAAAAGAAACTCTTTTTGCTGAACAGATTTAAAGTATTTGAATCACTGGGTTCAATCACACACCCCAGCACTGATGCTGCTCTTTTCTTATTCAACAGAGTGTGATTGTGTGTGTTGCTGGCAAAGGATGTGTTTTTTATTGTTCCTTTTTTTGTTCCGTTTCTATATGTGGATTTGCTGTTTGGCTTTTGTGTATTTTTTGTAATTGCTAACTTTATTTGTGTTAAAATGTTGCCAGTTGAAAAGTATTGTACAAAAAGATCCACTGTGAGAGGAACGTTAGTGAATTATAATATTTTGTTGGTCATAAGCATGGCATTTAGGTTAGTCAGTGTCGTTGAATTCATGGGAGAGAGAAAATCGTTTTTGTTTTGCTAC